ATCATGAGCAATAACCACCAGCTGGGCCTTGTTCTGCAGAGAGACATTTCAGTAACTTTTTTAGAGTAGAATAAAAAGGGAAATTCTCTATTCTTTTCTTGAAAGGGGACAGAAATTCTGTACTCTAAAACAATGAAGTTAAGCAACCTGCTCAATTAGATAAGTCACATGATTCAGTCCATATTTCACAACAATGGGTTTCTTAGCCTCAACAGTCTTCCCTTCAGCCTCAGCCTGCGCCCTTTTCAGAAGTCTTTCCTTCTTAGCTGCCTTGTCCTCAGGCCGGTACTTGAGAAGCAACTTGAACAGGCTTGTGGCTGCAGTTGCAATCCATGTAAAGTTGTTGATAAAATACAAAAAATCATCATAAATGTGGAACAGAGAATTGCTTGTATAATGTGGATGAAACAAAAACATGAAACGAGGTAAAAGATCTTTGTTTATATGATGCTGAAATGTGTTAAAGCATGATGAAGCTACCATCAAGTAAGCAATGAATCCTTTTTAGTTTTCTCCCATTTGCTGTTCAACCAAGTAGTATTTTCTATCTATCTAACGCCATAACAATATAGAAAGATACTATTTAGTTTATCATACTTATATGATGATAAAAAGATTGTGCTTATATAATCTAGTCTAAAACCAAAACGAGCTAATGATGAGAGCTAAATCACGCGAATATTCAATTTCTTTTCTGATTTTCTGTTTATGCCAATTACACTGTCTAGCTGTGGCAAAAGAAAAGCAAGCTATTTCCCATTCTAACACCCCAAGCAGCCACATTTTCCATACTTACACATGAAAGGTTACTTACCGAGGTTCTTGTCCAAAGTCTTAGTGAATTGGTTTAATGCAGGTGGGACCTTCAACCTTTGCTTAAGAATCCTTTTCTGCCGTTGGATACGGATTTGTTTAGGCCATTTAACAAATCTGTGCAGGTCTTTCTTAGGAGGCAGAGCCCCTCCAATACCAAACTGTTTAGGTCTCTTTTCGAACAGAGGATTCGCAGCCTTCTCCTATATTCACAAAATACGAGAAAAGGCAAGTCAAACGACAAGCAGACTACTCTCAAATGACATTTCAGACATATCAAGATAAGTAATAAAGAAGTACCACTTTCTTCTTGGGTGCTGCAGGCACTTTTCCACCTCTCTTGGGAGCCTGCATCACAAATACATACAAATGAATAGAGTAAAAGTAATCGAATCATACAATGAAAACAGTAGAACAAAATGTCTTTAGAGTCTTAAAACAGACTTGCAAACAATGAAATTGTAACAGAGGCTACAGATTTTACTAGCAATAAATACGAGTCTTGATAAATCTAGTTAAGGAGAAAACCAACCAGCGAGGAAACACCGAAAATTGCACCAGTTCGTATATTGAAACTTACAGGCCACTATCTTTTCAAAGTTTGGGAGCATCTTCTGATATAAGACTCAGATTTCAACAAGAACTCAATATTCTTCCAGCCGTCCGCATTTTATCATCAACTACAACATATTTGCGAAATTATTGCGTATTACAAATGAAATTATGGAACACATACCATTTCTCCGCTGCGTTTCTGCTTCTAGGTAGTGGCGTCCGGGAACTTCCAGCGAGCGGCGTCGGGGAGGCGTGACGCAGGTCTGATTTATATTACGCAGAGTTGTAGGTTTTATTGCTCTCGGAACCGAGTTCTAGGTTTTATTTCGTTTGGGTCGGGTTGACCCATTTTTACTGTTTAATATGTTTTCCTTTGGTGCAGTACTAGTTTATCAGTTTAATTAAAAATTTTAAAAATACTGTAAAAATAATTATTTATTAAAAATATTTTATAATTAAAATTTTTTATTAGAAAATATATATAATATTATTATTTAAAAAAATAAAAACTGAATATTTGGTGAAATTGATTTTTGGAATTTTTTAAGCATAAAATTTTAATAAAAATTAAATTTATTTTTTAAAAATTACACATTATAATTTTTGTATTTAAACTATTAAAAAATCGCATTTATCTTTTATTTTGACCAAAAATATTTAAAATATTAATTATTCAATTTCGAAAAGTATTTTTGAAACCCAAAAATCAAATTAAAAGTGAATCACATTACTGAGTCATTTAATAATCTAATTTCAATCAAGAGATAGGTATTAAAGTTCTATTTTGTTTAGAAAATTGTAATTATTCAAAAAAAAAATTATTAGATCATTTCTTATTTCATTTTCATAAAAAATTAACTTAAAAAATAAACAATATTTTTG